GTGGTAGAGAGAGACGTACGAAGTGGTAGAGAGAGACGTACGGGGTGGTAGAGAGACGTACGAGGTGGTAGAGAGACGTACGAGGTGGTAGAGAGAGACGTACGAAGTGGTAGAGAGAGACGTACGGGGTGGTAGAGAGAGACGTACGAGGTGGTAGAGTGAGACGTACGAGGTGGTAGAGAGAGACGTACGAGGTGGTAGAGAGAGACGTACGAGGTGGTAGAGAGAGACGTACGAGGTGGTAGAGAGAGACGTACGAGGTGGTAGAGAGACGTACGAGGTGGTAGAGAGAGACGTACGAGTGGTAGAGAGAGAGAGACGTACGGGTGGTAGAGAGAGAGAGACGTATGAGTGGTAGAGAGAGAGAGACGTACGAGTGGTAGAGAGAGAGAGACGTACGAGTGGTAGAGAGAGAGAGACGTACGAGGTGGTAGAGAGAGAGAGACGTACGAGGTGGTAGAGAGAGAGACGTACCAGGTGGTAGAGAGAGAGACGTACCAGGTGGTAGAGAGAGAGACGTACGAGGTGGTAGAGAGAGAGACGTACGAGGTGGTAGAGAGACGTACGAGGTGGTGGAGAGAGAGAGACGTACGAGGTGGTAGAGAGAGAGAGACGTACGAGGTGGTGGAGAGAGAGAGACGTACGAGGTGGTAGAGAGAGAGAGACGTACGAGGTGGGGGAGAGAGAGAGACGTACGAGGTGGTAGAGAGAGAGAGACGTACGAGGTGGTAGAGAGAGAGACGTACGAGGTGGTAGAGAGAGAGACGTACGAGGTGGTAGAGAGAGAGACGTACGAGTGGTAGAGAGAGAGACGTACGAGGTGGTAGAGAGACGTACGAGGTGGTAGAGAGAAAGACGTACGAGGTGGTAAAGAGAGAGAAACGTACGAAAGAGACGAGAAAGACAAGAAAGAGACGAGTTTCATTTGCGACGTTTTACTTTAGTTTTATTTGACGTGGGTGAAATGAAAAAAAAAAAAAACAAAGAATAAGGCAATTGACGCAAAGGCTATGAAAGAGTAGAGCTTTTTCTATCCTAGTAGTTTTAATGTAAGTTATGTATATATAAGTTATGCTTATTTATTTTGCATCTGCGTATTTCTTAGCTAATTTGAATTTAATCTTTCTAGATAAATAGTTACGCATTTAGTGAACAGAGAGAACGGTCTCTTGAACACTCATATTTAGGTAGGATTTTGATACGCAAGTCAAAGGTATGAGTTGTCATATTTGCAAGTATTTTTACTTACTTTATACTAGTAAACAAATAAAACTTTCATTTATGACATCGTATATTGGACTAAATGCTGTATCAAAAATCCTTCCTATCGATAATTGCTTTATAAAGAACCCGGTACACTACAAGCGTGACTAGCCTTTTCACAAATTATAGGTTTAAGTTAACAAATACAAATATTATTACAGAAAACAAGCAATACTAACGTGGTGGTGCGATCACAGTAGCCTGACCACATAAGTGGAGTTGTGCGTATGTTAAAAGTTATATATAAATATTATTACAACGTTTAAATTCTAAATGGGAGGATCACTTGTCTGTCAGATTTCATATATTTACATATTTTTGGGGTTTGTAGAATAATTCGGGGTAGATATTTTGGGAGTCCAATATTCATTTGTAAGTTCTAAATTTTCGACTGCAGAGCGTTTTCGTAGCTAGTTTATCGCCCGTAGCTCTTATTTCCAGTCGAAATCGATTTTCACGATGGCAAAATTGCAACTTTGCAAACGACAAAATAAATTCGATAGTCACTTTGGGAAGCTTGAAAATTTGAGTGATATAAAGAAAATAATTAGTGTAAATCAGTTTTGTATCCTCGACGACTGAATAATTATTATATCAAGATCTTTTCGAGTCAGATCAAAGCAGAAGAGTTTTAACTCGTTGTGAACACCGGAATTGTGGAGTTGGGTTGGGTAGATCCTGCATAGCAATCCAAGATTCAACATCTGCCTGTGGAAGGTGGGGTGCGAGGGGGGGTTCACCTGCCTGTGGAGGGTACCTGCCTGTAGAGGGTGGGGTGCGAGGGGGGGTCACCTGCCTGTGGAGAGTGGAGGGGGTTCACCTGTCACCCAGTGAGGTGAAGTCGATCTCGTGGCCGTTGCGGGTCCAGGAGAGGGTGGGGGGCGGGTGCCCCCGAGGGGGGGCGCAGCGCAGCTCCGCCGCCCCCCCTGACGCGACGCTCACGTCCAGCGGCACCTCCCGGAACTCCTCCCGCAGCACTGGGGGGTGAAAAGGGAGTATTGGGAGTGAAGGGCATGTGAAGGGGGAGTGAGGGAAAGTGAAGGGCGTGTGAAGGGGGAATAGGGGGAGTGGAGGGCGTGTGAAGGGGGAGTAGGGGGAGTGAAGGGCTTGTGAAGGAATTAAAGGTAACTTTAGCCTAAAAATCAGAAGCAAATAATAATAATATTGTAAAATGAATGAGAGGTTTCAATAGTTTTAATTGAATTAATAAAATTTTGTTAGCACTTCAAGAAACATTTTAAAATATATAATTTTAGAGTATACAGTAGTTTCAATATTATAATATTCGATGATTAGATATAGAACTGATAAAACGATAGAAAGTGTGAAATTTGGGTCATTTCACCCCAGCTGACGATACCTGAAGTGAACCTAGAACAACGCAGCAAATGAAGACAATTTTCGATGAAGACAATTTTCATCAGCAAACCGAAATTGTCTTCAGCAAATAAAGACAATTTTCGATGCATCAGCAAACCTAGTCACAAGCGTTACGTTCTCAATTTATTCTCAAGCGTTAAATGTGTTCATATAGAAATAATTTGAGATTGTTTGCGAAGAGACTTTCTGGTTCGAACATTTGTGTTGTATTTCCTATTTACGTGTATTATGTACTTATGTCCAACAAAATTTCACTATTTAATGCTTCTCTTAACTTGAAAATGAATGTTGCTACATTCGAAACGCCGTTAATATATTATTATTATATGCTAAATTTGCCTTTTGATCTACCATTGCAATTAACGTCATCTAAAGAATTGTTCGACTCCTTGGAAATTATAATGCATTATCTGGTCATTAAATGTACGCATAAATACAATATAGGAATCCATGCACAAATTTTACGTGGCCTAGACCAGCAACGCTACTGAAAAATCCCCCGTCGTCATGTTCAAAGCAGGTCAGAAAACACTTATTTTGCCACGACTGGGATTAAAGTAATAAATATCCTGGCAGGAGCTGTCTGTTGAGCATAAATCCATTTCTTTCATCCCTCTGACCACATCCGGGGCTAATCTATTAAAAAATATTAGGCATGGAAACCCTAGGCTTAGTTTAGCCCGCGCAATTTCGGCGAAGCTCTTCGTATGGCCGCTGGCGAGGCGCGTGAAAGGAGCCTGTCGGCGCCGGATGATCGATGGCTCGTCTGAGGCTGTGGCATGATGAGCCGGAGCAGATAAGACTCAATGCCATGGCTCGGGCCAGGCTCTCGTGATGAGCCGGAGCAGATAAGACTCAATGCTACGGCTCGGGTCAGGCTCTAGTGGTGAGCCGGAGCAGATAAGACTCAATGCCACGGCTCGGGTCAGGCTCTCGTGATGAGCCGGAGCAGATAAGACTCAATGCCACGGCTCGGGTCAGGCTCTAATCATGAGCCGGAGCAGATAAGAAGCAATGCAGCTCTCAATATTAGGTCCCACTGGTCGGCTTTTGATAAGGCCCTACATGGTCGGCTCTCAATATTGGGTTAAATGGCTATCACTGTTAAACAATTGATGTGGGCAATAATGCTACATCAAGCAGACACTATGGAGCTCATATGTATTTTAAATCTAATTCAACCCATAATGTAAAAAATGAAATAAAAAAACATCGCACTCACTCGTGGATATTTTCAATATAATAGCAAGTTCTAGATAATGTCATCCAAATAATTTCGCCTAGAATGCAGGTATCATATCTACAAGGTTTAAGGCATATATAATATTGTTCATAAATTATTGCTTCTCCAATGCAAAATAATGACGAATAATGTTTATCGTCCACAAGGAAAGTGAGGAAGCAGCCTCGACAAAACTTGATAATGAAAAAATAAACTCGTGTTTCAAAGATGTCTCTTGCTTCGAAACTTTCCTGGAAGTTGTCTCAAGTTATGGTCAAGCTTTGGGTTAAGTTGCCTCCAAGTTTCCATAAAGTCGCTAGACAAAACTTAGGACAATCTCAGATGATGGAAGTTGTCTTATGAAATGTTCCCCGGTCGGCATGGCTGTGTTCGAGTCGAACTTTATGCCTGAACTTCGAGTCCGGGGGCAGGAAGGAAGAATGAGGCGAGTTCGGAGTTACGGAAAATTGGGAGCAGAGCAACCGAAATCGACGCTAAAAACGGAGAAAATGAAATGAAAGTGAAAGTTGAGAACATTGATCGTTAGGCGGTAATAAGCTCGGGGAAAGAAATAATCATACCAAGGATTTAAATAGTTCAATGAATGATAATAAGAGAAATATAACATTGGTACGAAGTTGTGCGCATTGTAAAATAGTTCAATTGGAAATAGAAGTACGATCGCGATTGGAGCTTTTCCGTTGAAAATACATTAGGGACTTGGCCGGCATCAATTGAATCAAGAGAATGAATTGCATGCCTTAGGAGCTCAGGGAGAATAACGAATAAAACACTCATATTCACCAAGTATTTTTATAGGAGAATTCCTTCGGTTATTCACGTTCAAAGACACATACATCTATCTTCACCAACGATACCAAAAAATTATCATGGTACACCGCTATTGTGCAGTGTGCATGCGATTTTTTCGACATACGCATGCAGAACAACAACGCGAAATATGCCAGCAGCATTGCTTAAGTTCTCTCCGGGTTATACATACATGGACAGTTTGTCCACTTTTCATACGAGGTCGTAAGGATAAGGACTAAGGTCCAGACGGCCGCTTATCTCATGCATACAGCAGCATGCGGGGCGCAAGCGAAATACATTTGTCAGACGTGTAAAAAATGAGTCCCAAACTTCCGGCACATCGGAAGGTCGCTGGCTTGTCAGCCCGAGCCGGCGATAACGATGGACCGCTTTGTCAGACCAGCCCGATCACGGTCCGATAAACCGGACCAAAGCCGGCGTCAGATGGACACACCAACGGATTGACGGACAGATAAGACAGATGGAAAGCTTTGAAGCCGAGCAAATGGCCGTGGCGTTGGTTAACTTCAGAACGAGCGTCGACGAGATGGTAAGTTCGAATGCGGTGGACATTCGCAGCAAAAACTCCGCTGTTACATGGAGTGAGGCAAAGAAAAGAAATGCTTCCGTAATGGTAGGAATCAAGCTGTAAAACTGGAAATAATGGTAAAAAGAGAGGACAATAGTTACGTACTAAATCACATTTAGGATTAGAGTAAGATGATAGAAATGCAATAATTTTTCACGGGCCCTCGAGACTAATTAAAGGTCAAATGCGGTTAAAGGACCACAGTGGTATTGGTGTAAAGGTGGCCGGATGTTGCTGGTATAAAGGTGTGGGACTGGTGTTGCTGGTATAGAGCAGGTGTTTTCGTGGCGTTATGTTGCTATTCTCATTCTCTCGAATAGTAATTAGATTAAACGGTTAGTGGAGTTGGTGTTAGATAGAGACTAGGCATAATAGAAACCAATAGTTCTAGGGACAATAGGTAATAGAGTCTAGAGTGGATCGGGGAAATGGTTTATAGCGTCAATAAAGAGCCAAGACAATGGTTGATGCAGTCAATGGTTGCAGCAGACAATGGTTGATGCAGTCAATGACTGCAGCGAACAATGGTTGATGCAGTCAATGTCACGGTGCGTGATACGCAACACGGTGCGTGATACGCAACATGGTGCGTGATACGCAACACGGTGCGTGATACGCCACACGGTGCGTGATACGCTACACGGTGCGTGATACGCCACAGTTCCGTACCTCATAAGGTTTGCTGACACAAGTTAAACAAAATTCAGTAAAAACTCGATCATTCGCACCGTACTGCTATGCTTGCAGGTCTTGCAGGTGCATAAAGTTCATTTAAATTGATTTTAATTATTTTATTTCAATTTTAAGAAGACTAATTTTTAAAAATTAATAATTACCAATGATCGTTAGTGCAATTTAACCCTCTACCGCAGCATGTCACTCACCGGGATCAAAACTTTCAACTTAAATTATACATAAACAATTAAGTGTAGCAACCTGAGAACGTTTCTACGCAACAGAGAACATTTTAAAGTTGTCGTAGGTGGCGGCAACCATCAGTGCAAGTCATTTTGCGCTCACTAGAACCTATCCTTTTTGGGAAGTAGGCGCGTGACAATATTGCTCCGGTTACTCATGTCAGGCGGTAGAGGGTTAAATTGATACTTGATATAAATTGATAAATTGAAAATTAATTTATTTTAATTTTAATATAACAAATGTTTACAGATGTTATATGGTACAGTTTACAGATATAGAACAAATTATATATGATAATTGCCAATGATCGTTAGTGCAATTTAAGTTTGTCAATGATATGAACCTGCGATGGTGAGGGAGGCGTTGCGCGAGAAGGCCTGTCCGTGAGGGTTCCTAGCGACGCAGCGGTACAGTCCTGCGTCGGAGTCCTTCTTGCCCTGCTTGGTCGACAGGATGAAGAGGGATCCTGAGGGCAGCAGCAGGCGGTGTGACAGAGGATCCTGCTCTGACGTCACCACCGCCTCGCCGTCCCTGCCAACAAACAAATGTCGCTTTCATCAGGAGTTTTATTATTATTTTATACGTGCAAAGAGATGTGCATGAATTAGTGCAAAGAGATGTGCATGAATTAGCTGGAAATTCATTAAAAAATTTTAAACATGCATTTCAGACCCTTCAGAAAAATTACAAAATTTCTACGTTATTCTATCGACCGTAGGCGTGTAAGCCAAATTGACGATCGTCGTAATGCACGTAACCATCGTATAATTTACGATCAAAAGAAGATAAAATTAATATCTCAGCGGGAGCTGATAGCGGCAATCAGGCGTTGGAGCAAGTTTTGGGGCATTGCGACCAGCAACCAGGCATCTAATTATAGGCTAATTGGGTAATTAGGGGCAATTACTTGATCCCACTGATGCCTAATTACTCGAGTATTGCCCAGCGCCAATTAAGAGAGGATGAACTCAACATAAATAACGGCAAACATTTTGAGCAAAATATTAACAATCGATGTTTAATGCCTCAATTCTCCGCAAGCATTTTTCCTAGAGCTTATGAGGTCAGAGTTGCTCAGAGCGCAGGCGCAGAGTTCATGAGGTCAGAGTTGCTCAGAGCGCAGACGCAGAGCTCATGAGGTCAGAGTTGCTCAGAGCGCAGACGCAGAGCTCATGAGGTCAGAGTTGCTCAGAGCGCAGGCGCAGAGCTCATGAGGTCAGAGTTGCTCAGAGCGCAGGCGCAGAGCTCATGAGGTCAGAGTTGCTCAGAGCGCAGGCGCAGAGCTCATGAGGTCAGAGTTGCTCAGAGCGCAGGCGCAGAGCTCATGAGGTCAGAGTTGGCGAATGCGGTAAATTAATGTTATGGGAAAATGAAAATTTCGAGGCACTTGAAATAATAGCTTAGGAATGGTAAATAAAAGTAAACTTATGGATTATGAAAAGTGCTAGCTTCCAGATGATGATGAGGCACAAATAAAAAACTGTAATTTCTAGCTATAATTGAGCCTTTTAATTATGAATACAAGTTTAAATATGAAATAAGTAAAGAATAAAGTAAAGTAAAGCTGAGACAGTCGTAACGTGATAATTGATGAAGATAGAACAATAGACAAAGAGAGTGAGATATACAGAGACAAAGTATACAAATATAAGCACTCGAATCAATTAAATAAATTCTTCCAGTCACTCGACAACTTAGAACCATTCATTAAAACTTAGACCACCGAGTACGCAAATGCGCTAAAATTAAAAGTCCAAGAAGAAATTAGATAATTAAAATAAGGAAAATTTGTACAAACTAAATTTGTTTTAAATTATTTATGTAACAAATTGACAGGTTATAATGGTGAGAGATCGTACCTGGTCCATGCAATCCTCGGCTGAGGGCTGCCCTCGGCGGCGCAGTTGAGGGTGGCAGGTTCCCCTCGCGACACCACCAGGGACTTGGGATGCTCTATCACCCGTGGGGGGGAGCCCCCGGCACCTGAGGAGGAGGGAATATTCTATGTTATGACTTAACAACAAAATTATCATAATAATTCATAATTAACTCTAAATATTGATGTAAGTATCATTATGCTATATTAATGAGCAAAATCTTAATTTTTCGTATGTCAATTCTTTGTCGGTTTACAACATGCATCGACGAGGCTCAAAATTATCATTAAAAAAAACATTTAGTGGCATCAAGTCTTTTGGCCATCCTAATTTGTTCAGATCTAGTAATCGTCTACTTTCTTTTTGGATTCATTACTACGGTTAGTAATCGAGCCAAGAAACAATAGCAAAAATTTTTTCTTCCTTCAAATGATGTAACAAGTCCCAGTTCATACGATTTCTACAATTAAAAAGGAAAAGAGCCAAAAATTATTGGTAAATAATTGTACACAAATTCCTCCGTCAGAAAATCTCGACTATAACAGAGTATAGACAATAAAATAGTCACTGCGAAAAAAATGGACTATTCTACTAGGGCTGTATAATCGGCGGCCTATCGACGGCCATCCATCATGAGCTCACTACCTCCAGTCATTCTTAAGAGAAGAGAAAAGATACAAATTTTTACAAGCAAATAACAGTCGGCCCGACGACTATTCAACAAAAATTCAACCTGAACCTGCACATTTTCATTAGCCGCTCTACAGTGCGCAGCAAACTTCCTTGCAAGTTCCAAAGCAAAAATCGAGGCTGAAAGCCTCTTAGCATTCCAACTCCATGGGTTTTTCCGCAGGGCTCCTAAGTTTGTGTTCCGTAATTTGTGCGTCAAACGGAACGCGGCAAAATGTCGACGATTTCGAGCGGAAACCGGCAATACGCAAGGCCAGACTTGCGCGGTATCAATGCAGCGGACATCTTTTTAGCGCATTTTCTCATTTATGGAAAAAATGCACTATTGTGCTCGCCATGTCCGTCTGCCTGTCTGTCCGTCCGTGACCTCAAGTTTTCGTCGACGAGAAAATGCGCTCTCTGTCACTCACTGCAGTGAGTACTGAGTTATATTTTTATGGTATACCAGCGCTCCAATAACTGAAGGGAACGCTTAGAACTTTTCTGGAGATGGACGTAATATAGAGAAAAATATACAGCAATCTAGTTTTTCATTCGAAATTGGTTATTATTTATTTTTTGTAATTATCAGTTCCGTCAAACGGATATGAAATAGAAAAATCTGAAGCGGGGTGAAGGAGACACGGTGCGCAAAGTCTATCGCAATTAGCATCAAAGTTCATTTAATGACGTTTCATACTAAGAAAATTGATGGAATTTATTTTCATTATTCACAATTTTTTGCTAAAGATTTGGTAAAAGTTCCCTGCAATAAGGAATAAAGTCACGTTATTCATTATGACTTAATTTCATCAGGTATGATATATTAGGCATCTAACGACATTGAATTTAGTTCATTGTCTTGTCAAATTTTAATGAAAAATTTCAACTACTTCATTATTAATAATTTCTCATCCGATTCATATTCTATAATTTATGGCACATAAACAGCAAAATACTTTATATTATAACGATATATTACATTGAAGTTTAAATATTCCTTGGTTGTGGCTAAGCGCCTTGTTAACAGGAATTTAATTGACCCAAACGAGCCCCATATGGGCTTCTTGCTAAGCGGCGGTCGCTGACATATTGTCGTCAAGAATTAAAATACGATTGTCAGTTCAGGCAAACGCCTCGCAACGTCAGATCGTGTTTAGTGTCAGGTCAGGCCGACGCCAGGCTGTACTGGCAACGTCAGATCGTGTTTAGTGTCAGGTCAGGCCGACGGCAGGCTGTACTGGCAATACTGGCAACGTCAGATGGTGTTTAGTGTCAGGTCATGCCGACGCCAGGCTGTACTGGCAACGTCAGATGGTGTTTAGTGTCAGGTCATGCCGACGGCAGGCTGTACTGGCAACGTCAGATCGTGTTCGGTGTCAGGTCAGGCCGACGCCAGGCTGTACTCGCAACGTAAGATCGCGTTTAGTTTTAGGTGAAGCTGTATTTGCAACGTTAGATCGTGTTTAGTGAAGCCGACGTCGTCGTGTTTGTTGCAATCGTACACGAGTGCTCGGCGCTCTAGACCAAACTTCGCGCCGTCGCCGCACTATCGACAAACTTGCGTTCAAACAACACAAATTAGCCGCGCGTTAAGAGAAACAACCGCCAGGACGGCAGGCGCTCTAGTGAATGCTGATGACGCTGAGGTCGGGGTTGGGAGGTGGTGGTATGATGGTGGATGTGATGATGGTATATGGGGATGATGGTATAGTGTAAGCAGAAGTGATGATGGTATGGTGTAAGCAGAGGTGATGATTGTATGGTGTAAGCAGAATTGATGGTATGGTGTAAGCAGAGGTGATGATGGTATGGTGTAAGCAGAAGTGATGGTATGGTGTAAGCAGAGGTGAAGATGGTATGGTGCAAGCAGAATTGATGGTATGGTGTAAGGTGACGGTAATAACGGCGGTGATGAAGTAATGCTCCTCATGCGAGGGTTTCTCCGCCAATATGGACGGCACGTCATCACGAGCCTCGGGTTGATTTTCTAATTTTCTTCACATGTTTTCAGTTCTCGTTTTAATTTATAACCAATCCACAAATAAACAAAATGATTTACTAAGCTTACACAGACAAAAAAAGTCTAATACTTCTTCACTCCTACGGTAAGATGGCAAACAAAACAGTCGTGCTTCTGACCAATTCTTCGAGACGAAAACTTTAAACTTGCCAACGAGACAAAAGTTTGAAGTTCACTACCGGCCGCGAATCAAGATGTAGCCGAAGTCAAAGCGTGGAAGAAGCTCCTGTTCCCCCTGCGAAAACAACTTGTTTCAACGAGTAAGTTGAGTTTCATCAAGCAGAAGCTGTTCCATCAACACTGAGAGCCGAGCGCTGGGCTAAAGGTCGAGATTTGATGGGCGCAGCTTTGCAGGGCGTCTGAAATCTACGGCAACTCCACGCCAGATCTCACGTTAAGGCCAGCAATAAAAAAGAAACATTGCACCCAAGCTCAAGCTCGATCCTTCAGGCCCATTTCGACGAGATCGACTTGCGCTAGCCTTCACAAAACGACGTCCCAGGGGCCTGCTTTCCTCGACGTCGAATGGTAGCAGGTCGACGAATGACGCCCGAGATACGAATCCGAGTACGTCGTGGACATAGCATGCAAACAAGCAAGCATTTTATGGCCATGCTTTAGCTGTGCAACAAAACGGTCATTAAGTGGATAAACTACACTCAATGGCTACCTAATTGATCGTTAAAGTGACCATATATTGTGGAGGAAACTGATATGAATGGATTGTTGAGGCGACCGAGTGTCAATATGAATGAATTGTGGAGACACCACTATTAAATAAAATATTAAATTATTTATTAAATTTTTGCACGCAGACTAGAAGAGCGAGTGAAGACGATGTCGAATGTTAATGATTGGGCGATCTCTCGTAAAGCGCTAAGGAAATGAAACTCTAGGAGCCATACAAGACCGTCACAACTCAGGTATTGTTTTAATTCGTATCATCATAAAGGAGATTTAACAAAAAGTTATTTACGAGCCGGATAAAAGAACCAACCGCAGCAGGTTCAAATTATATTTGAGAGTTGTTCACTGAAATATAGAAGCAGATTTCAGTTCGCATTTGTCCAATGATTTATTTTCTCACGCATACCGGAAAAAAACGAGCTGTTGATAACAATTACGTAGCTGCCATAATAACACGCTTATACACAAATGACATGATGCAAGGAGTTTAGCAAATGTTCTAAGATGACAATTATGCATAGAAATTTTCGACGTGAGGAAGAATGTCGGCCAACGCTGCGATCCATGCAGCGGTAACTTCATCAATAAACCGACGTGGACGATAAAATTCTTCGACGAACGCGGACACGGGAGGAAATTTCTGATCCCAGCACACAGACTCAAAAGTTCGACATTGCTGGAGATTCTTTATCAGCATTTTGTTATTTTGATTGCCCGCCACACGCTGGGGAGACAGCGCCAGCAGTGCCCTCGTTAAACGAGTAACTGGATTTGAGAGAGCAGGGAGCGATAGACGGAGAGAATATGATGAGAGAAACAAATATAGAGAGAGCAGGGAGCGATAGATGGAGAATATGAAGAGAGAAGCATACATAGAGAGAGCAGGGAGCGATACATAGAGAGAATATGAAGAGAGAAAACATCTGTGGATAGAGCTGGGAGCGATATATAGAGAGAATATGAAGAGAGAACATGTATAGAGAGAGCAGGGAGCGATATATAGAGAGAATATGAAGAGAGAATAGCATCTATGAAGACAGCTTGTTTCAACTGAGCCACAAGGGGAGAGTGAGGATCATGATCAGAAAAGCTTCAATAAAAATATGGGTAACATGCCAGCAGAAGATTGTGCATGATGATCGAAGAGAAAAAGCTCATTTCGTGAAAAAAATATAGATTGAAGAGAGCCAAGAGCGAGAGTGAAAATATGATAAGAGAGGAACCATTTTAGAAAAAAAAAAGATTTGAATGATCCACAACTAAGAAAAAGAAGATTACATATGATTAGAGTAATTGTCGATGATAATAACAGTTTTATAGCAAGAACACGATTACAACAACGTGAACGGAGCTAGCCACAGTGATGCGAAATTTAGAAATATAGTAAATGTCTTTGAAGGAACTTTAGAGCGAATAACTCGATTAAAGAGAACAAGGGGGACACGAGCGAAGGTTAACAAGAGTCCTCCACCCCCCAAAGCTTGTCAATAAGGGGACGGAGCTAACAAAGTTAAGGGACTTTACCTCCTCAGGGAAGATTGTGAAAACCGCCCTAGAACTTTGCCCAGCGGCGCTCCAGGCCTGACACCAACGCTACGCGGGGCTTGCACTTACCTCTTGTTGGGGCGATAGTATTTGATTTTTGTGCTCATTATTGATGGTGATGCATTTATTTATATATAATAAATAATAAAAGTCGTGATGGGATTAATGGGCATTATAATAGTTGGTCTTCAACTGAATAATACTGTCACTTATAATGGTAGTCGTGGTTAGCCTTATGATCTTTATTATTGGTTTCGGTCATAGTTAATGATCATTATTAATGATCAATAATAATGACCGATGCCGTCATAATTAATGATCATTATTATTGATCAATGATAATGATCGATGCGGTCATTATTAATGAAGCTGGTATAGTGCGATTAGAGCGGTCATTACTGAAGTCGATCGGATGCAGAGCAGGATTAATGATGTTGATTGTACTGTGATAAATATCTTTATTATGAAAGGTTTTTAGTCTTAAGCTTGACTTAAACGATCATAATTAATTCGATTATATTGATCATGTATGCATGATATTGAAAAATTATATATAATGGATGACTATTGGTTTAAACGCGTAATATTTCCACTGCATTCAGGAGGAGAACGCAATAAAATATTTCTATAATTAAATCATAATATGTGAAACCTAACGTATAAAATCACTATTAAGTAAAATATTGATAGTTTACAACGGTAATACTGATGAGAAATTTTTGCATTAGTTT